TCTTTTTGCCTTGTCTGAGATGATCTATTACCGTGTGTGTGTGTGTGTGTGAGAGAGAGAGAGAGAGAGAGAGAGAGAGAGAAAGAGAGAGAGAGAGAGAGTCCAATGACATAAAAATATTTCTTACCATGTGTTGTGTTTACAGCCACTGTGGGCTAGTTTACCTTTTCAGTTTTATGATTATGACATTTATTGATATTTTTTCTTTATAGAATGAATTGTCAGATGGATTAAATAAAAAACGTTTACAAATCTTATTAAAAGGCTATGGTGAATATCCAACAAAATACAGGTAAAATTGAAATTCTTTCATGTTAAGTCGGTTCTCCCTCCTCCCCCCCCCCCAGATTTTTCTTGGTAAAAAAATTACATTTTCATTTCAGAATGTTCATCTGGCGCTCTCTGCTACAGTTGCCTGAAAATCATACTGCATTCAGTAGCTTGATAGATAAAGGTGTCCACATGGCATTTCTCAACCTTCAGAGGAAATACCCCATCAAAAGTAGGAAACTACTCAGAGTATTACAGAGGTATGTTCAGTATATTGTGGCAGTGTGAATCTCCTCCAAAACATTTATCATATACGAATGGGAAGATGGTAATTTTATAGTAGAGAAACTCAGCAGACACTATCTTAACCAAGTACTCAAGTTTAAAATCGCCAGTGATGAAGCCTTTCACTATATTACACATTGCTTTTGTGGTATTCTTGCCAAAAATGTATAACCTCAGTCTAGTCATGAGACTGACCCCCAAGTTGAGGGGCAGTCTGTGAAATAACTGTCCGGTATTCCTCAAAGTGTCAATGTCATAAAAGATGAGAGACTGAGGAACTTGCACATTGGATGAAGTTTTGATGATGGTAACAGGGGAAGTGAGCTAGACAACAGGGAGAGAGAATTTTCAGCAAATATACCTTCTGTATAAAATTTTTTATCATGTGACTGTATTGTCTATTCTAATATATTTTTATAATAATCTGTTTTCTGGTCTTTATTTCCTTATTTTATTCACAGAACCCTATCTGCATTGGCGCACTGGTCTGCCATCTTTAGTGACACACCGTATCTTCCCCTCCTGGCATTTCCATTTGTAAAATTATTCCAGAACAACCAGCTCATCTGTTTTGAAGTTGTTGCTACTCTCATAAGTAAGTAAATAAGCATTAAATGAAACCAAGATTGAATTTTTGTACATTTTCCTGATGTCTTTGCACCTTTGCAACATTTAACAAATCTAGTGTGAAACAATTAGCTATAGAGCATAAAATAGTGCAGCCATTTATACATAAACCTCTCATTTACAAGAATATTTGGATAGTTGTATTTTAGAAGACAGTGTTATAGCTAATTGTTGATAAGAAGGAAGCAGATGGGTTTCCTACTAAAAGTCAGTTATTATTCATAGGATGTAGTAAGTATGTAAAGCACTTAGCACACAGTGCTGGCTGTGGCAAGTGCTGGACGCTACCTCCTTCTCATCTTCCATAGCTGACGTTTGAGAACCTCCTGTGTGCCAGGTACCATCTCAGTGTTTTGTCTCTATTAACTCATTTAATCCTTACAACAATCTATGAGGTAGGTGGTGTTACTGTCCCCTTTTTATAGATGAGGAAACTGAGGCACAGAGAGTTTAAGTTCCCAAGGTTAGCTTGGTGGCAGAACAAGGATTGGACCAGGCAGGCAGAGCCTGTAGCCTGTGTTCCCAATCGTGGTGCTGACTGCTTTTCATCGTCCTCTACACTGACAAGTGAGTCATTGTTTTCATGTTGGTTGATCAGATCAGTTGAACAATTGATAAACTGGGCTCAAATTATAGGTTGTTTTAACAAACATAATCTTATATGTATTTTTAAATTACTTAGAGTGTTTTTCTTATACACAGAAGGGAGAAGGTAATTATCACAATAAAATTCTGAAAAGATCCAGGTGTACATATTGTGAATATTTCTCTTTACATTGTTTATTTGTTCATTTTATGACATTGTATTTGCTTTGATAAGTTTTCACTTATCATTGAAGAAAATATAGGAAAATATACAAAAGAAAAGAAAATCTACCAATATTCTTTTTCCCCAAGATAATCTCTGATAATATATAAGTGAATTTCTTATAAGAGCATTTCCCCCAAATCATTATGTATTTCATCTTTAGGTACACTGTAATTTATCCCTCAACTGCTATGTCTCTGGGGGTTTTCCTAAATTTTTCACACTTTTAGGCTGTTTTTTATTTTTATAATCATATTACTTTTATTTAATGTGTTATATACATTTTCCTTATTTTATAAACTTTATAACCATTTTATTGACTGTAGTATTTCATAGTGTGCGTGTACTAATTTAATCTATTGTTGGACATTTAGGTTGTTTGTAATTTTTACTTGTATGAGTTAACAATGTTATAATTATATTCACATGCAAATATTTATAATAATTTCTATTGGGTAGATTTCAATAATTGGTATTATTATGTCATAAAATATGAATTTTTTAATTGATTCCCCAAAAGGGTTGTACTAGTTTGCCCTGCCAGTAACACTGAGAGTTTTATTTTAAAAGGAAAAGAAACAAATCAAGGGGGTGTGAGAGGTAGAAGAGGATAGAGGGGGATTAATGATGATGGAAGGAGACTTGACGTGGGGTGTGAACACACAATACGGTATACAGTATTAGAAATAAATCAACAAGAAAGTGCCTTGTAGCTGGGATCAGGAATGCTTTGGGAAGTTTTGTTTTAATTTTTCGTTTGTTTGTTTCTCACTGACTGCTCTGAAGAAATTGGCAAATTTCTCTTAACCTAAAATATTATGTTAACATGATGGAATTTTTAAATCTATTGTTATAGAATTTAGAGTTATGTTTTTTTCTTTATTATTAACGGGCATGCAGAGAACATGAAGAGTGGATACATTTAAAAATTGCAAAGTTCTTTGATAATATAGAAAGGTAAAGATAACTTTCCCATTTTTTTCTTCATAGCCAATTGGTGTCAACACTGGTTTGAGTATTTTCCTAACCCTCCCATCAATATTCTTAGCATGATAGAAAATGTCCTGGCTTTTCATGACAAGGAGCTGCTGCAGCACTTCATAGATCGTGACGTAACTTCCCAGGTAAGAAGTGTCAGGTTCTTACAATAGCATAACTTATTTTGGAAACTAGCATTAGTTCTATTACAAATAAAACAGTATTTTCTTGAGAGAGTATAATAAAAAACATACTATTGTATTTTTAACAGTATTTCATTCTCTTTCCTCATTTAAACTGCTTTCCTGAAAGTCTATAAAGAAGGGTCCAAATTAAGGTAGTTCTTTACTTATGTTTTAAATGTAATAATTTTAATAACTAAACCAAACGTAAGGCGTTATTGGAAATGATGTTATGATTTTTCCCTAGGAAACTAATACATTTTTTCTTATTTGTTTTAGCTATATGCATGGCCTCTTCTTGAAACTGTGTTCTCTGAAGTACTGACAAGAGAGGA